TTGTTGTTAGTCCACAGATTTTTCGGATAAATCCAAATACTGGACAAACTGTGCGCTTAATATTTACGGGTGAGGAAAACGTCTCAAAGGATGTTGAGTCACTGTTTTATTTGAATTTTTCTGAGTTTCCTGCACTAAAAAAACAAGACAGCGATAGTAGCCGTTTAATGATTGTATTTAAGAATCGTGTCAAGGTTTTTTACCGTCCTAAAAATTTGAAAGGTTCTACAGCAGATGCTTATAAAAAAGTTCAATTTGCCTTGGAAAATGATGGAACAAAAAAGCAATTAAACATTCAAAATTCGTCTGAATATTATGTGAATATTAAAGAATTAAGTTTAGTTGCTGGAAATAGCGAAATCGTGGTGAAAAAAAATGACTTAATTGCTCCAAAAGCTAAAGTTAATTGGGTAATAAATAATAATACGCATAGTTTAAAAGATTCAAAAATTAAACTTACCCTTGTAAATGATTATGGTGCTTTAGTCGTCCACGAGATTCCTCTGAATAAATAATAAGCGAGTATAATATTATGTTTGCTGAATATTTTGGCCGTAGAAGCTTATTGTCTATATTTTTAGTAGGTTACTTGATTGGTGGTAATAATTCTGCCGATGCAAATGATCATGTTAATAACGATGGTGAATATATATTTGATCAAGCATTATTCCGTGGGCAATCTGATCATCAAATTAAGCTATTAGAACGTTTAAGTGAAAAAGAAGATATATTGCCAGGCTTTTACAAAGTGGATGTTTTTGTTAACAAGCAAATTATTGAACGTATGGATTTAAAGTTTGTAGAAGACCAACAAAAAAATATTTCTCCATGTTTTGATTTAGTTGCTATAGAAAAATTAGGAATTTCAGAGCAAATTTTGATAAATATTAAAAAACAGCAAGATCAATGTGTTCTCTTATCAAATTATATTCAATCCAGCTCAATAGATTTTAATTTTGAAAAGCTTCGACTTGATATTAGTATCCCTCAAAATGATATGCATAATATTCCACGGGGTTATGTTAATTCATCCCAATGGGATGCGGGTGAAAGTATTGGCTTTATCAATTATCTGGGTAATTATTATCATACTTCATATCAATTACACGACCATTCGCAGACTCAATCTGCTGCATACGTATCATTAAATGGTGGTGTAAACATTGGAAAATGGCAATATCGTCAACAGTCTAATATTAATTATAGTCCAGAAATAGGGACAAAATGGACCAATATTCGTAGTTATATTTCTCGCCCTATAGAACCTATTCAAGGTGTACTGACTTTAGGGCAGACCTATAGTTCTGGAAAGTTTTTCTCAGGGTTAAGTTTTAATGGATTGAGCCTTAGTTCCGATGAAAGGATGTTACCTGATTCATTACGAGGCTATGCACCAACGATTCAAGGTATAGCTAAAACCAATGCAAATGTTTCTATATTGCAAAATGGTAAGGAGATTTATCAGACAACAGTAGCGCCAGGCGCGTTTAAAATTTCTGATTTATATCCTACAAATTTTAATGGTGATTTAATCGTTAAAGTTAGAGAAGCTGATGGAACGATTTCTCAGTTTAGTGTTCCATTTTCAGCTGTACCTGAGTCTCTACGTTTAGGTGCTTCACGTTATAACTTAGATGTAGGGAAAACTCGTGATATTGGAGAGGACACTTTTTTCTCTAATCTTACTTATCAACGAGGAATAAGTAATAGCGTCACTTTAAATTCAGGATTACGTTTAGCAGATGGTTATCAAGCTGGCCTCTTAGGCGGAACATATGCATCACATATCGGTGCTTTTGGTGCTAACTTAACTTACTCTAGAGCAAATTTACCTGATGAAAATATAATAACAGGTTGGATGACTAACCTGACCTATAGTAAGACTTTTCAGCCTACCAACACGACAGTATCTTTAGCAGGCTATCGTTATTCAACTGAAGGATATAGAGATCTAGGCGATGTTATTGGGCTGAGGAATTCTTATAAACATGGTTATCGTTGGGAGTCATCGACTTACCAACAACGCTCCCGTTTTGAAATTACGCTGAACCAAAGCCTTGGTGATTATGGGATATTATTTTTATCAGGATCAGCACAAAACTACCGTGATGGTCGTGATAATGATGTACAGGCACAAATTGGATACGGCAAAGCATTTCAAAATGGTTTGACGCTCAATCTGGCTGTAATGCGACAACGTTATGCTTATGACAATATCATCAACAATAGATTTGATGAAATAGATTCAAAACTACTTGATAATCGTCAAGATACCTCAGTGAATCTTTCCTTGAGCTTTCCTTTAGGACGATACAAAAAAGCAAATTTACCGAATTTAGATTTAGCTTACTCACATGCTGAAAACGCTAAAGAGTTTTATCAAAGTACATTATCTGGTTCTTTAACTCAGGATCAATCACTGAATTATGCAGTAGGTCTCAGCCATGATCGAAATATGCAAGTGACGACTTGGAATACAAATCTCAATAAACGTCTAGACAATAGTAATTTAGGTCTAAATGCTTCAATGAGTGATAACTACTGGCAAGTTTCAACTAATCTGCAAGGCGCATTAGCGGTGCATTCTGGAGGGATCACATTTGGTCCATACCTTGGTGAAACTTTTGCTTTAGTTGAAGCCAAAGGCGCTGAAGGTGCACGACTCTTCAATGGTCAAGGTACACGAATTAATCATCAAGGCTATGCACTTATTCCTGCAATTACACCTTATCGCTATAACAATATTTCATTAGAACCAAAAGGCATTTCTGATCGTGTTGAGATTGAAACAAATGATCAACGTATTGTTCCCTATGCTGGTGCAGCGGTAAAAGTAAAGTTTAAAACCAGAATGGGTTATCCATTACTCATCCAAGCAAAATTGGATGCTGATGAATTTGTTCCTTTAGGTGCTGATGTAATTGATTCGCAAAATAATGTGATTGGAATGGTGGGGCAAAGTGGTCAAATGTATGTTCGTACTCCAGCAAAGCAAGGGGTTCTAACTGTCAAATGGGGCGAAGAATCAGATCAGAAATGTGATGTTCATTATCAGTTGAATGATGAACTTCTTAAACAAACGATTATTCGTCTGGAAGAAACGTGTAAATCTGGAGAGTTGAAATGATCCGCATACAATTCAAAATATTAATTTTATTGGGATTCTTTTTATCTATCTTTGCCCATGCTAACTGTACAAAAGTGGGAAACTTTCTAGCAACTGATGGTACTACTGCACCTATTGTGTTTGGAAAAGTAAACTTAACAAGTTTATATTTACAACCTGTTGGGAGTTTAATGGGGAGTGCTGTTGTCCCTCCAACAAGTTATACCTATGGTGGAGCGAATGCCTCGACAGTATTTTGGGAGTGTGACCTTACAGATTTACCGAATATCCAATTCTTGGTAGCTACAAATGGTGATGATCGAGTAGGGGGCTATTGGGATTTGGGTGGACTGTATGATGGGCTTCCCAATGTATATGCAACTTACTATAAGTATGTTGGTCTTAAACAAACAATGGATGGGGTGGTTTTAACTCGCTATTGGAAATCCTTGCCAGTCAAAAATTACCAAACTGTCGGAAGTAAAATACGAATTAGACTACAAGATATCCCATCGCTTTATGCAGAACTCTATAGAGTTAGCCGTTTAGCACCTCAATCTGGTTCAGGTAGCGCTTATTGTGGAACTGGTATAGACAATCAAATCACGGTGGGTTCATATACCTGTATACAGCCTAATGCATATATTCAATTAAAAGGACCGGGTTTAACCAGTGATAATGTTGGAGAAGATTCGAATACAAATTATAGATTTTGGGGGGTAAATAATGGGATAGGCTATGGAATGCGCTCTGGAAACTCACTTGCGAATCAGCCAACTTGTGTTGCTCGAAATGCGACTCCTATTGTTTTTTTCAATACGATTAATACTCTAGCGCTTGGTGCAAATCAATCTGTACAAGAGAACTTTAATGTATCTATTGAATGTTCCAATCAAGTTACTTCAGGTACAACAAGTAATCAGACTGCTATTGGTATACAGACTTCAAATGGTGCATTTGCAGCAGCACAACAATTAGGTTTAGTAAATGCCCAAAATGGTGTGACTGCTTTACTCTCAGATAATTATACTGATGCACAGTCAGCAAAAGGTGTAGGAATTTTCTTAAAAAACACAAATACTGGGACAGATATGAATTTTGTTGGTCAGCCAGGTTTAGCAGGTGGGGGTACTGCAGCTGGTTGGTATCCTGTACTAAGTGGAGCGCAAACAGGGGCATCAACAGAGTCAGGCTATACGCATTATCTACATAATTTTACCGCAATCTTAAAAAAACTACCTGGAACTGAACCAATTAAAGCTGGGAAAGTTAATTCCACAGCATATGTATTAGTTAAGGTACAGTAATGAAAATAACAAAATTTACACTATTATGTATTTGTTTGTTTTATTCATTTCTATGTCAAGCTGGGGTATTGGCTGCTAAAACACGGGTAGTTTTTAAGGACGGTGAGCATGAACAAAGTCTAATGTTAGCAAATACTAATGACTATCCTATTATTCTACAAACATGGGTTGATCAAGGAGAAGGGGATCCTGATATTAATAATATGCCGTTTCTAATATTACCACCTTTTGTAAAACTCGCATCAAATGACATTCACGGGCTTAGAATTTTATATAATGGCAAGGCTCTACCAAACGATAGAGAAACTGTTTTTTGGTTAAATCTATATGAAATACCAATGATTAAGCGCCATAGCGATCAAGCTGCGTATATGAATTTAGCAATGAATACTCAGCTTAAATTATTTTATCGTCCTAAACAGATCGCAAAAATGTTGCCTGAAATGATTGTAGAAAAAATACATTTCAAAATCGTTGAACAAGATAAAAAAAATTATATCGAGTGTGAAAATCCCACGCCTTATCATGCTTCATTGATCAACTTAAAAATTGAAAGTTCTTCTCAAAAAATATATATACAATCAGAAATGGACATGATGTGCTACCCGTATTCAACTAAACGTTATGAAATAGCTGGTGAACTTAATAAAAGTGATAATTTATATAAACTTAGCTTTAATTTTCTTGATGATGATGGTAATGCAATTCACTTTCAGAAAAATCTGAACCCATTTAGCTAATGATATAGAACCTTGGTATAGTTCTATATGTTCTAATAAAATCTGATGCTTAGCGATTAATCTTTTTTAGATGTACAGGGGAAATTAAAGATGAAGCGTATTTATAGTTTGAAGTCTGTGACGAGCGGTTTAATTGATTTGTTAGAGCTTTTTGTTTTAAAAAAAAATTTAAATGTCGCTAAAATTTCAAACAATTTGCATGAATACAAACGAATTCCATTTACTGAATGGTTAGCAATGTTGAAAGCAATTGAAGAAAAATATAATAGACCATCTCTAGGATTAGAAATTGCTAGATATGTAAAACCTTCACATTTAGGTATTTTAGGATACATCGGCTTATCATGTGAAAGCTTATATGATGCACTGCCTTTTTTTATTAAATATCAAAGGCTCTGTTATGACTTTATGCAAATGGAAGTTTCTATTGAAGATGAAAGCCTTGTTGTTTCATGGGAGTTTGATGCAAACTTTAAAGCGGGTAAGTTAGCGGATGAGACAATGATTGCTATATTTTTTAATATTGTAAACATCATTGTAGCGCCCAATGTTGTGAAGTTGAATAAAGTGGAGTTTGTATTCGATCGACCCAAAAATCCACGTACTTATGAAAAATATTTTGATTGTAATATTGAGTTTTCAAAAAATAGAACAAGGATGTTTTTTGCGAAAAGTAATTTAGAGTTGCCAATAAATAAGGCTGATCCTGTTTTAAAAAATATTTTAAATAGGCAAGCAGACATTTTGTTGACGGAGCTACCAGAGGTGAATTCATTTGATGAGTTGGTGCAACAAAATATTATCAAAGCTATTCATCAAGGTAATATCAATATTGAATATGTTTCCAAAAAAGTAGGTCTTCCTACGAGAATTTTTCAATACAAATTACAAAAACAAGGTTATACATTTAAGCAACGTCTTAACCAAGTTAGAAAAGGACTGGCATTACAATACCTTGAGGACAGGTCATTGAACATTAATGAAATATCAGCTTTGCTCGCTTATAATGAACAAAGTTCTTTCAACCGAGCATTTAAAACTTGGTTTGGTATGAGTCCAATACAATGGAGAAAAGATTTTAATAAAGATGCTATTTGAAATTGGTAAAGTTAAAGAATTATATTCGTTTTGTTAAATTCACTAAGTTTTATTAGAAATGGCCCAGAAATTACTTCTGTTAAATTTACATGTACTCGCTCAAACCTGATCTGACAGTTACCCTTTTTTTAGTGTGTCTGTCAGGTTAAATTTGAGCTAGATTCTTTTCAGCCCAAATTCGCTTCCCTTCAAGTAATGTTTCTAGTGGTGTGTGACCACTGCACATTTTTCTCCTGATATGTTCGTTCAGTATTATAGAATTTTGCCAAACGTCTAGAGCAGCTTGTAATTCCGCTAAAGTACTATATAGCTTCTTCCTAAATGTAATTTGATAAAACTCTTGCAAGATCGTCTTTATGGAAACGCTCGCATATTCCATTCGTTTGTGGGAATGCTGGTTTTGTTTTTGTGTGATCAATATCATTGATGGCTAAACATAGCTCATAATTATGTTGTTCAACCTTACCGCAATATCCAATACCCTATCTGTCAGGATACGCAGCATTGGTAGATCATGTGACTGATAAAATGGTATACAGGATCATTTAAAAAGATCTGCTGCTGTAATCTGTATTTTCGTTGTATAGAGCTTGCGAACGACTTTGCTGTAGGTGTCGATGAAAGTTTGTTGAAAGATTCGACCAACACCTTTGAGATTGCCAATGTAAAAGATATCTTGTGCTCTAAGATATCTTGGATGGTGTATTTCTTTCATGTTTGCCTTTGGCTTGTGTATACGATTACGTTTTGGAACAAAGCTATTGAGAGATTTCATCGATTTATCAAGGCTTGGCAGTAGAAGATGAATGGCTTGTATGATAGGTTTTAGATACGGGTTTGTTGATCTGTGAATGATATTGCTGAACAAGGCCATGCGGACTGGTTTTACAACAAAGTTCAATAAGAAAGGTTGATTAGGCTTTGAATGAGCAAGGTGTAGGGTACCTAGATTAGGTGTTATTACTGGTTTATCTATTTTTGCCACGCAACTTTAATGAAGCAAAACTGTTTTTAAGTGCTGAGAAATAAAATGATGAAGGTATCAAAACAAAGCTCTGTAAGCATAAGCTCTGAAACAAAAAGCCAGTTTGAATCTATTTTATCAGTACATTTACCTGAATCGAAATTAGTTGATCAGTTTCAAAGACACAAAAGAAAACTAAGAATTTCGTTGACTGATCGATGTAATTTTAAATGCAGTTATTGTATGCCTGATCATCCGACCTGGTTAGCTAAACAGGATATTTTAAGTTTTGAAGAACTTTATAGATTTTGCGAAGTGATGATTAAGCTTGGCATCACTCAAATTCGCTTAACGGGTGGCGAGCCGTTGATGCGAAAAGGGCTGGTTAATTTTATTTATACGCTCAATACGTTAAGACCCTTAGGTTTACAACGTGTCTCAATGACGACGAATGCTTATTATTTAGAAAAATATGCAGTTGAGCTAAAACAAGCTGGGCTTGATGATCTAAATATAAGTTTAGACAGTATTGATCCAGACACTTTTTTTAAAATGACTCAAAAACCCTTAACACCCGTATTAAAAGGAATTGAGGCGGCAAAAGCTGCAAATATCCCAATTAAACTCAACTGTGTTTTGGTCTATGGAGAGAATCATCAGGAAATATTGCCATTAACTGAGTGGGCTTATCGAAATGACTTCGAACTACGATTTATTGAATACATGCCATTGGATCAACCTGAGCATTGGAAGCGTGAGAAAGTCGTGGTTGAGGATGACATTATCAATATACTTTCGCCATATTTTCGCATCGATAAATTAGAGCGAAATAATGACCCAGCCACAATATATACACTCAATCAACGTTTTAAACTGGGTATTATTTCCACCATCAGCAAGCCTTTTTGTCAAAGTTGTGATCGTTTGCGTTTAACCGCGACGGGTGAGTTATTTACATGTTTGTTTGCCAATACAGGTATTTCTGTTCGACATTTATTGGATAAAGCTCAGGGAAAACAATTGATAGCAACAATTTTGGATACGGTTTGGCAAAAAAAGGCAGGCTATATTGCTTATCAAGCTGCACCCATTCGTAAGATTAGTATGCATTCTATTGGCGGTTGATTTTATACATAGAGATAGAATTGTATATGCTTTTTTTTATTTGAAATGAATCGTTTATTGTGAAGCTGTATATTATTTAAATTGACAGGGTTTTTTATGAAAAATGTAGGCATGAAGCCTGAGAGTTATCGTATTGCTACTGCAAGTTCAGAGTTATTCGCGCCTCCGCATTGTTTACAATTATTAGCAGAGGGCAATACTGAAAAAGGCGATGCACTAAAAACAGCACGAATCGCAGGGATTCTTGCAGCCAAACGTACCGATGAGCTTATTCCGCTTTGTCATCCTTTACCTATTTATCGAGCTGATGTCGATTTTGAAATACTAGCAGATCGCGTCAAGATTACGGCAACCGTAGAAACGATTGCGCCAACTGGTGTTGAAATGGAGGCTTTAACTGCCGCAAGTCTGGCTGCGCTTACGATTTATGACATGTTGAAACCGCATTGTGAACCAGATGAACTGATGATTGGTCATTGCAAACTTGAATTGAAAAAGGGCGGGAAATCGCACTATAAACGTCATCTTCGACAAGCTGTATCAGCTGCAGTCATTGTTTTATCAGATAGTGTCGCTTCTGGCAAAAAACCTGATACTGCGGGACGTTCTGTGGTTGAAACCTTAACTGAGGCTGGATTTGATCCAATTCACTATCAAATCATCGCTGATGAGCCTTTGCAACTAAAACAATTGATTTCAGAATTGGTGCAATCTTATGGATGCATCATTACAGTGGGTGGGACAGGCATAGGTAAGCGCGATATTACTGTTGATACGATAGAACCATTATTGGAAAGAGAGCTGAATGGTCTGATGGAAGCGGCACGTGCTTTTGGGCAAAGACGGACACCTTATGCTGCAATGTCTCGTGGTGTTGCTGGTTTTATTGACCGTTCACTGGTCATTACGTTACCAGGAAGCCGTGGTGGTGCTTCTGAATCTATGGCAGCGATTTTACCTGCCTTGGTGCATATCTTTGATGTATGTCGAGACTTACCACACCCAGGAGGTTATGAATGAGTTGTTCTGGTCAAGGATTAATAGGTTTAGATCAAGCATTGGCAGCTTATTCTACGGTTGAATCGCGAGCGGTTCAGACTCTGCCACTGGTAGAAGCACATCAACATTATCTGGCACAAGATGTCCTGTCTGAGATTGCATTACCTCTATTTACTCAGAGTGCAGTAGATGGCTATGCCTTAAAAAGCGAAGATATTCTTGCCGGTATTACCGTGTTTGAATTGGTTGGAGAAATACGCGCAGGTATTGAAGAATATGTTCAGATCGAGTCTGGACAATGTGTTCGAATTTTTACAGGCGGTAAATTGCCAGATTCGGCTGATACAGTTGCCAGACAAGAAATAGTATCTAAACTAGATAGCCGAATCAGCTTAAATCAAGCGCTTAACAAAGGGACAGATATTCGTTATCAAGGCGAAGAATTATCCATTGGTACAATATTGGCAAAGCAGGGCCAATATCTAAAAAGTGGCTTAGTTGCATCACTAAGTATGGCTGGGGTAAAAGAGGTCAGTGTTTTTAACCGTCCTCGTATTGCTGTATTGATTACAGGGGATGAAGTCAGCAAAAGTCTTGATAATAGCGCTCAGGTTTTTGATGCGAATTCACCAATGGTTTTGACATGGTTGAAGGAAAGAGGTTTTTACTCGATCCATTTAGAACATGTGATAGATGACGAAACTGTCCTGAAAAAGGCTTTAGCAAATGCCTTAGATCATTACGATTTAGTTATCACGACTGGTGGGGTTTCAGTTGGAGATTATGATTTGATTCGCCCTGTTTCTCTTGCATTGGGGGCAAATGAAATTTTTTGGCAAGTTGCTCAGAAACCAGGCAAACCGATTTATTTTGCTGAATATAAAAAACCAAACCAGTCTTCCTATTTATTAGGGTTGCCGGGTAATCCAGCAGCAGTATTTGTTTGTTTAGAAATCCATGTGTTCACTTTGCTTAAAGCAATGCAAGGTTTAAAAGAAGCCAAACCAGAATGGGAGAAGGCAAGCTTAAGCGAAGCTGTAAAGGGTGATAGTCGAGAACAACTGTTGCGTATGAAACTGAATGTTGATGAGCAAGGGCAACTTAGTGTTTCAAAACTCAAAAAACAGCAATCGCATATGCTAAGTAATTTAAGTGAAGCGAATGTCATTGGTCGAATTCCAGTGTTTAACAATGCTGAAAATTGCCCCAAATTCATTGAGTTCATTCGTCTTTAGTATTTTGAGTCTGATACGCTTGGGTAACAATAAAATGTCTCAATATCCAAATACTGACTTAGTCATTTTAGCTGGTGGTCAAGCTAGACGGATGCAAGGTAAAAACAAACTTTTGCAGCAGTTTGATCATGAAATGCAACTGCTTAAAATCTACCATCAATTTTGTGATGAGGTTGCGAAAATTTGGGTGAATAGTCATCAGGACTGTATTGTTTATCAGGAGATCATCGCTGAAATAGCCTGTTTTTCAGATGATCAGGCGGGATTTTTAGGGCCATTAATGGGAATGAAAAGCGCATGGGCACATGTAACTACAGATTATATTCTGTTCATTCCCTGCGATATTACTTTTATCCCTAAAGATGTCTTATCAAAAATGCATCAAGCTTTATTGGAGGCAGAAAATTCTCAAGCTGTATTTATCTCTATAAACAAACAAAACCTTTACCCCTTTTGTTTGTTGAAAAGAGACAGCTTAGCTACGCTCGAAAAGCATTTGGCTAATGAACAATTAAGTATTCGAAAATGCTTTGATGATTTGAATCCAAAGGTCGTTAAATATGAAAACCCTATAAGTTTTCATAGCATTAATTCAGAACAGGAGTTAAGACTATACCGTGAAAAATTACACATATTCAGTCGTTCAAATTCAATTTAGTTCACCCTAAATACTCATTGTGGCGCTATGCTTAAGTAAAGGTGTTAAATGGCAGAGATTCAAATTAAGATTGAAACTTATGGTGCAATTGAAAGACTGTTACCTAAAGATTTAAATTTTTCTTGTGTTGAAAATAGTATGGTCTCAGAAATTTTGCAGCAAATTTCTGATCAATATCCTGATTGCGCTAGTCTTTTAGAGAAGTGTGCATGTGCGATTGGTGAAGAAATTATTCCCCGTCGACATCGATTAACAAACCATTGTACATTGGTTTTATTATCCCCTGTAGCAGGAGGCTAACATGACAGATAGATCTCGGATTAAGGAAACGGATCTGAGTTTAGATGATTTTAAAACCATTGATCATTTTCCTGAATGTGGTGGTATTGGAATTTTTATTGGAACGGTTCGAAATCACCATGAAGGTCGCAGTGTTAAGGCATTAAAATATACTGCTTATAAGCCCATTGCTGAAAAAATGATTCGTGCAATTGAGCAAGAAATACAAAACAAATATGCAGTATCATATATTCAGGTTATTCATAGAATTGGCGCTCTAGATATCGGAGGCAAAGCAATCATCGCAGTGGCTTATGCGCCGCATCGAAGAGAAGCTTTTATGGCGTGTGAAGAGGCTGTAGAACGTGTAAAACATGAAGTTCCAGTATGGAAAGAAGAGTTTTACTCAGATGGTTCCAGTGAATATGTTGCTGGCTGTTGTATCCGAAAAGATGACGATGTTTCGCATAAACATCTTCATTTGAATTCACATTCTCATTAAGTCGTTGTAAATTAAGCAGCTTAAGTTATAAGAATGATGAATGATTATTATGAAAAGTTACCATGTAAAGTAAATGAATTTTTTCTTGAGCTGATTTTTTAATCAGATAAGCCATTAAAGAGGGCACTCAAATGAACGATTTAGAAAAAAATAAAGCTGAAACAGAAGGCCAAGAACGCCAACAGTATTCTCAGCAATATACTGCCGATCAAATACCCCCGTTTTACCTGCGAGTATTGCCTGTTTATCCCATTCATGAAGATGCTTCATCATACCTAACAGAAGCGCATAATCTCCGCCAATT